GCGGCGGGGGTGGGGCAGGGGCTGGGGAGGCGGCGCGGGGCGGGCAGCGGAGGGGAGGGGCCGGTGCTGGGCTGTACTGCACGCTGTGCGGCCCGCTATGGACCCGCGGAAGCTGAGCGAGCTGCGCTCCTTCGTGAAGCTGTGCAAGGAGAACCCGGCGCTGCTGCACGCCGAGGAGCTGCGCTTCCTGCGCGACTGGGTCGAGAGGTGAGACAGGGCAGCCCCTGTCTTCTCGGGGGGCGGCCGCCGCTGCGCATGCGCCGCACCCCCCCCCCCCACGTTGGCGGAGGGAGCAGCGCCCGAGCTCCGAAGTCTCGAGGGGATGGGGGAGCTGCCAGGGAGGCGGGGCCTGCTACGTTTTGAAGAAGCGGCCCGGGAGGGGCTCCCAAGTCCTGAGCGGCCGCGGAGTGAGACGGGCTAGGACTAGGGGTCTCCCCGCGAGGCGAGGAGGCCGCTTCAGACTGAGGGAAAAGAAGGGCTTTGTGTCTCCCGCGGGACGCCGGGAGGGGGCAGCTCCTTGCAGCGCCCGGGAGCGTGGGGGTGGGGGAGCTGGAGATCTCCTCTGGTGGTGGCCTGCCTCGGCCCTGCCCCGGGATTGAGCCCGCGGCCACACGTGGCGGGCGGACAAGCAAACCTTGCGTTTCTCGGAGCCATCACACTCACGGGTGCTACCTGGGGGCTTGGCCAGCTTACAGCCTGTCCTTGAGGGGGAAGGAGGCATCCCTTGCACTTTAGCAGGGGAGTGAGGGGCACGGGGGGCTTGCAGTCCCAGATTCGCAATTCACTCTCCTTTTCAGTCTCCACTCTTTGCTACTGTGCAACATACAGGCCTTTTTATTGGAGAGTGTTCATCAAGGAGCTAGTGGGACTGCTCATTAGGAATGACTACAGTCTCCCAAAACAGGAGGCTACACGTGACCTCCTTTACAAGAGTTAGAAAACACAGCTGAAGTTCAGGGTCAGAGCTGACAAAGTACTGGAAAGTTTCTGGTTTGTTGAAGTGGTTCTTTGCAATCTGGTGAAGAGCCAGGTAATGCAAGAACCTGGGCAGGAGGGACCTATGGTCTGACCCCATCAATGGCAGTTCTTACATTCTAGTACAGTGGTTTTCAACCTTCTTTATTGGTGGACCCCTTTGGAAATTTCAATTGGCGGTATGGACCCCTTTGAATTGTAAGTGCAGGCATTCACTTGCTTTTGATTGATCAATCAGTCCCTTTCTGTGGACCCCTTAGACAGTCTGCAGACCCCCAGGGGTCCATAGACCACAGGTGGTAAACCACTGCTGTAGCACCGCGCACCAACTGCCTCTTGCTACATGCATGTGGAACCCCTTGCTTCAAGCAGCCTCCATTTCCTGAGACCAGGCAGCTGCAGTACATGTGCACTGTATTTACGCTCCAGGTAGTGTTTTTTTATTTTGGATTTGGAGGTGACCTAGCCCAGGTGTTTCTCACAGTGAATATCTCTGTATCCCCCCCCCCCCCGCTCCCTGCCCGCCCCCCCAAAATCAGAATCAGCTGTACCCAGGCTTGGTGAATTTGGAGAACCAGAGAGAGAGTGTCTGTTGGGTCCTGACAACTAGAATCGCTCTGTGTGTAGATATGGGGAGTGCAGGAAAAGGGCTTGGCTGCAAGGAGGAAGTTCATGTTTTTTTATTCTGTCAGACTTGGTATCTGTTTAAAAGCCCATACCTGTAAAAACAAACAAACAAAAAAACAAACCCCCCCCCAAAAAAACCAAAAAACAAAAAAACACCAAAGTAGAATGTCTTAGAATGCTATCTTAGGTGTTGAAGACGCTATAGGGGAAATGACTGTAATGCCCATTTTGCAGCAGTTCAGCTAATAACACACCTTAATCAGGCCCCCCGTTTGGATCACCTTTTTTTTTTTTGCTTTCGTAACTGATTATTTCAAGTTGAACATTCACATTTAAACTCCTGAATGCAAGAAACTTTCTCAATGTACATCTAGATGTGTAAAGTGAGGGTTTGATGTTCAAGTATACAGAATTCATTGGGTTGTTTATTAGGGCTTTTTAAAATGATGTACTCTTATTTTCTTGTATACACCATGCCGTTGCATACAGTATGGATCCTGTATTTGGAAGGTGGCATGAAGGAAAAGAAACTTTTATAATAACAACTAGGGAGCCACGCCTGCTGCCAGCCCCACGCACCAGATCAGGTCTGTTGGGCTGGACCCATTGTGTGACAGGGTCAGCCATGGAACAGCCATGCATGACAGTCGGATCCAGTGTGTGAGGCCATGTCATCTGTGGGTCTGGAAATTTGGCACCAGATCTCCAGACACATGGAGATTTGTATTTCTCATATAATATGGACCCCAATTGTTTGTTGGGGAACGCACAAGTTATGCACAAGTAAATACAGTATTCTGATATTGTCAAGAAAAAATCCTTAATTTTCAGGATCCTGTATTTATTTCAGCTTGAGGTTATTCTGCATATGGAAACAGAAAACTTGCCTTTTTTCACTGTTTGGGCATTTGCTTGGGGGTCTTAAGTCATGTTTTGCAAATAATACAAGGTGTTTAATGTCTGCATTTATTGGCCTTTTGGGGTTAATGATTGAAGAACTTAGAGTAAAGCAATAGTGTCATCAATAGTGTCAACCTCCTCAGGTTGAGCAGATGAGGCAGTCTTTGAAAATGTCTTGTAAACATTTTTCTTCTCTTATTAAGCTTTCAGAGTAGCACTGAAATGCACTTAAGATCCATATATATCCATCTAATGCTGTTAAGTTCTGGGTATTGTCCAAGTTGGCACTATTTGTAGTGCCAGTAACCATTGTACATTCAAGCTGTTTAAAACTCAAGTGGTAGGTTTTCTGAGCATGTAGAACAGGAGTCTCTCGGGACTGCAGGCCATGCACTATGCCTGTTTCTACTCATCGTTAGTACGGTATTGATCATTTGTGCTATTAGGAAAGTTGAAGAAACAGCTAGTGGAGAAGTTGTAGCTGTTTTCTGAAAGGGAAAAAAAGATTAGGAGGAATGTTGTCAAGTGACAGTACTCATATCTAGGGGTTTTTTTTAAGGCATTTTCAAAATGCAAAACTCCTCTTGATATACTGAGTGACTTAATTTACTAAGGGTGTATGCAGTGGTTTCCAGTAGTTAGAGGACATACCCACTTACCCTAATGATCCTTACTAAGCTGTACTTTCTGAACCCTGCTCATCTAGAGTCTTAATGCAGTAGAACAGTTTGTGCTGTTAAAGGGACTGTGCCAACATAAACAGTATGTCTTACCTACCAGTGGCGAAGAACATTTAGATGCTGTGATGATGTAACAGATTTTCTTTAGTTTTCTCTGTGCCTGCATTGTTTTGTGAATATTAAGATTCAGTATTTTTTTTGTATGTGCAGGCCTTTCATGAGAGCTTTTAATAAGAAAGTATGATTGAGCATAGCAGTATACTGTTTTCAGACAGCTAGGATTTAACTAGGCTTCTCCATCAGACTGCATTCCTATCTAGTAAAAATTATTAACTTTTTTTTGAAGTAACTTGGATAAAATTTGGTTAGCATTTTCAGCTTTCTTTACTCAAACTTTGTTTATAGATCAAAGAAAAGAACAAGCAATTTCAGGCAGATTGACAGATATTCTTTTCGAAAAAGAAACGGGTAGTGTAAACTAGGGAGTTTAAAACAGAAAGGCCAACTGAGTTAGAACTAACTGTTGCTACTATAGGTCTGGCTCTTTTGCTGTTCAGTGCTTTTACTTTGACAACAGTGATAGTTTGGTTTTACTTCTATCTTTGGGACAGTCTTTTCTTATTCTAAGCTCAAATCCTGCTGAAAGGCCTGTACTTGATTAATCTAGTCTTTAATATTTGTTCTCCCTATTCTTCCTCCTTTCCTAAAAAGCATGGGAGGTACAGTACCACCTGCTCCAGCCAGTGCCTCTGAAGAGGAGACAGTTAAGGTAAGAGTGCATTTTTATCGCAGAGGGGGCAGGGAGGAATAGTTTGACAGAAAAATCATAGTATTTCAGGGGGAAAACCAGTTCAAAGTTTTCAGTGGGACAAGTGAATTTATAGAAGCTTTTAAATAGGGTGTCTACAGAGTTTGAACTGTGACAGCTTCAGACTGATCTGCTTGTAGTAGGTAGTGAATACCTTTTTGCCAAAGACCACTCTTCCCAGTGTACCTCAGATGGTGTTTTCATCCAGCTGCTACACACAATGAACAAAAGAGTGGTCCTTCCCACCAAATATTGCGTACACTGATGGTTTAGCCAGATTTAAAAAGCAGTTGGACAGATTGTTGGAGGCAAGCTGCATCTGCTAGTTACTGAGCATGAGAGTTACAGGTACAGCCTCTAAATCAGAACTTCCTAGACACTAAATGCTGGAGGCTGCAAGTGAGAGAGGAACAGTGGGAAAAACCCTGGTCATACTCTGTTCACTCTCCCTTTCAGCATCCACTCTTCACTGTGACACAGGATACTTAGCAAGATGAACCTATGGTTCAGCATGCAGGCATATGGGAAGTATAAAGAAACTGAGGCAGTTGGTCAGCATGATAGGAAATGGCAAAAGCAGCTGAACGGTTAAATGTTTTATACTCATTGCAGCAAAAAATATTTTCAAAGTATAATTTAAGAGTGGGTAATGAGGTAGCTTTGGGGGACGTTTATGGTAAACTTTAGAGAAGTGCTGTTTGTGTGAAAGTTTAATTAGTAGGTAATGAAAGTTGGCATTGTTGGCCAGTTTGAGGTGGGGATTGGTATCTCCGTGGTGAATGAGGCATTTTGTGTAGGTATAGACAATATGTAGTGTTGTAATTGCAGGGTATTGGACTTAGTGGCCCTTCCAGTTCCATGTTTTTATAGACTGTGATGGGGCCTGAAAGTGAGGACAAGCCAGTTTATATTTTGGGGATAGTGAAACTATAGCCCTTGGGTTGTTTAAATGCAGTTTCTGAAGAAAGTGTAGTAAATAGGAGGAAAAGAGTGGCCGGATCTATCTGGATGCTTATTATTTGCCATTTGATTTTCCAGCCCCCCATCCTCCTCCTTTCCAGTTTTTATAATTTTCTCTAAGAAGCTATCTAATGATAAGTTATTGTTTGAATTAGGGTGGCGCATTGATTCTGGGGCATATGCCACACTTGGCAATGTCGTGTTCTTACAGCTCTCATCCACGCCAAGATTCTGGTTTGCAACAAGAAGGGCTAAGAAGTTTGGCCACTTCTGTCATGTTTGTCACAGTGGAAGAATCCAGAGAGAGGAGTGATGTGGGCAAAACAAAGGGCTAAGAAAAAGTAGTCTTTGCAGTGGCATTCTGAATCTCTATGGGATAATATTGTTTTAATGGTTTTCCTATCTGGGCTGATTTAACAGGAAAGGATGCATGTTAGAATTGTTAGAGAATTTCTGACTTGGAAGAAATGAAGTGGAGAGGTAAGAGAAGCAGTCTCTAGTTAATTCAAGACTTTGTTCTGTTGAGCCCACCAGTTAGGAGCTAGTTTGTGCTCATTGCATTGCTGACTCAAGTGGATAATATTATTTGGGCTGGCTAACTTCTTAGTCACTGATTCTGAGAGCGAATCTTGAGAGAGGACTACATTCTGATTTATGAAGTGTGTCCTAAATTGAGTTCTCTGTTCCAAATTTTAGCTAGTCTAAGGCAGTGTTTGCATGTATTGGGTAGAGTTGTGTTTTAAATCCAAAAAACCAAGCACTTTGGTTGTAGTGGAATATACTTTTGTTCTTGATGATGTTATAGTTAGAGTTTTCAAGTGTCCTAGAATTGCTGTGGAAATAGGGTCTAGCCAATAGATGATAAATACGCATGACTTCCTGTCTATTCTTCACTAGGACAAAGCGGACAAGCCCCCAGAAGAGCCAGTTAAGCCACCTGAGCCTCAGAGTGAAGAGAGTGACTTGGGTGAGGAAGATAACTACTGTTAGTGCAACTATTACCTTTTTAATGACTCTAGCTTTTCTACTCTTGTCTGTTGATGGAAGAATTATTAATCTTGTTATATTAGTGTTCAAATCACTAACTTTTTTCACAGAAATTGACAATGAGGGAGTGATTGAACCAGACAGTGAAGAGCCTCAAGAAATGGGAGATGAAAATGTGGAGGTAAATGCAGCAACTTTAGCTTGTGATGCACTGGGGAAGTTGCTACTTCTGTGTCTTGACTCGGAATCAAACTGTAAAGCAATAGAGGCCAACGTTTTTTTGGCGAGCATATCACAAATTAGACCCAAACCCTTCCTCGGTACCACTTCCATGCCCTTCCTCTGCCTAATCTTCTGCTTTGCTTACTGCTCTATCTGTTGCCATGCTGCGTGTCTCCTCTATGATGTTGTACATGCCAGACACAGACTGCCCATGCATCTTACAGTTCTTGTGCCACAGTTTGGCCACCTCTGCTCTAAAGGAAAGATGCTTATGTCTTTTTAGATAACCAGTCTGTGATTTGGGTGTCTTTAGTTCTTCCTTCTAATTAGGAAAAACCTTAATTTTAGGCCAATGAGTTTTCTAACCCAAAGCCAGCTTCCAACAGAGGCTGCATCAAAACTCCAATTAGCTTCAATGAGAAGATAACTGGGCGTGCCAAGAAGAAAATGAGCCATTATGACTTTTTTCCTAGAACATCTATGAGTTGTTAAAAATTAGATATAATGAATTTGAACAGTTTCAGCAATGAAGCAGAGCACATTCTATAAGGTGCTGTCTTCAGCTCAAATTAATCTGGGTCTTCTAGAGTTAAAGAACTGTAGTTCCCTTCACTGACCACTCTGGGCCCACTGTTTTTGGTCTAGAGACTTTGCTGCTTTTTTTAGGTAACTGAAGAGATGATGGACCAGGCGAATGAGAAGAAGATGGAAGCCATTAATGCCCTTGGTGAAGGTGAGTAGCTGCATGATTTAATATGTATGTTAGAATTTAGCTGCTGTCTTCTGATGTGGTGTCTATTTGATGGCCCATTAAATTCTGACTTAACGTATTCTGGAATGCTTCCAGCAGGAAGAAAGGAGTGTGGCTAGGTAGTGGGTTGTTTAAAAGCACTTTTGGCAGGATTCATTTTTGTATTGCATTTCAGATGAATTTAGCCTTCCTCCCAAGAGATGCCTAGCAAAATGGTACCATTTGAAGTGCAGAAGGGGGACCACCTAGCAGTAGTCTTCTCCTGGCTTTTGACTTCATTATGACTATTGCTCTTCTTGCCTGGCAGGACTCTTTCCCCTCAGCCTGCTTCTTTTTGAGTGAAGAAACTAGTGTTTGTTTTTAAATGATTATTCTACAATGCCAGACTTCCAATGTGGCTAGTTTGTACGTGGGTGCATATGGCATGCTCTAGGCCATGTGCATTAACTCCATTTCAGTGGGCATGTCCACATTCATTAACACGCTGTAACTTTGGCGTATTAAGTTTAGTACCTGTAATAACAGGTACTAGCTTAATGTGCCATTATCAGCACTACTGCGCATTACCAAAGCAAAGATTAATGCTTTTTGCGTGATGCTTAATGCGCATTGGACTAATCTAATGTACAGTAGAATTAGTCCAATGGGCATTAAGCATCTTGTGTAGACGCACCCAGCATTTCCCAAACTTTTGATACCTGGGGCTACTTTTTATTCTTCTGAGTTAAAAGTAGCAGCATGCTTCACTCACTGGTCTGTGGACCTAAGCCCACCACACAGGGCTGGTGCTCTTGCTGCACACTAGTATGTCACAACACAAACTTTGGGAATTACTGTTGTATTTTAATGGTGAAACTTAAGTTGTGCTGCTGTTTATTTTGGCATTTAGAAACTTCATTTGTAAGCTGCTTCAGTGTTCTCGCATTAGTACAGAGTTGTCTGAGTTTTGAAAGGGCTTTATTTTTACTGTAATATCAACTGTTAAATTTGTAATAGTGTAAAACCTTAAAATATCTTTTGTTTACTCACCCTAAAATACAGTCTAAAACAACATTATTTTGTGTAGCAGCCTGATTTCAGAATTACAAATATTTTTGTCCTCCCCAATAAGAATATAAAAACTACCATTTACTAGGTCATAACGTGGGTCTATCTTGTCCAGTATCCTGTATCGCAGTGGCAGAGGGTGGATGCTGAAAGGGATATTGAACTGAGTATGACCAAGGTTTATTTCACTGTTCTCTCACTTGCAGTTTCCAGCACAATACTAACTAGAATGTGGTAACCTTTTTAAAAAATTCACCTCTTTTTAACATTAATGGCAGGGGTATACATTTTGGTCCAGAATATCTGCTATCAGTTGTGTTTATAATAACTTTTTAAGATGACTAAATTTCATGTTGGCTTTGAATATTGTACCTTTAAGTCCTTGCCTCTTGTTGGTTTTATAATTGTACACCTGTAATTTTACAAATAAATTCTTTCCTGTTTAAAGACCCATATAAAGAAAGGGTTTGCATACCTGACCAGACACAATGCCAAGTGCACAAACTGAACTGAAAATAGAGGATTTATTTTTCTTTCATGTCATAGCAATTGTTGTCTGTTTTTAGCAATAATAATTAATGTTCCAGAAACATGTGGCTCTTTTTATAATGATGTTTTGTGTTGTCTTTTTAAGGTATGCCTGAGTGCACAAATCTACCTAAGAAAGGTGGGAACTTTCTTTTAATCTTAGTGTGTGGTGGTTTTGAAGTGTTGTTTATATTGGCTTTCAGGTGAACTTCAGCAAGCCATTGACTTGTTCACAGCAGCTATCAAGTTGAATCCTCGTTTGGCCATCTTGTATGCTAAACGAGCTAGGTGAGTAGCACAAACTACTGATGCATTTTCATTATCTTTCTGCAGGTGTCACAGTGCAAGGGAAAAACAAAGTTCTGTCTCAGATTTGATGTGAATAGGCTGAATGAAGGGAGAGCGGGAAAAAAAGCATACTTTGAACCTTGGCAGAAGTAAATAGTCCTTCTAGTTTTACATCTCACTTTATTTAGACTTAACCCTACAATAATGGGACAGGGTTATATTGGCCTTCACCTTAATGACGGCTTTAGTTCATGTCTGTGCATGGCTGGCCTCTTTTCCCCAGCCTCCTATATCAAAGTTTGCATATGTATAGTCCCTAACTTTGTTCTGTATCTAAGTTAATCTTGGCCAATGCGAATGCTTGGGTATCAACATTCTCTGTGATTACATTGGTTCTCATCAGTCTCTTTCTGGTGCTACCTGGGAAGGACCCTTCCCAGTGCCACTTGTAGCTCCAGGCATCTGCCAGTGGTTGCACTCTTGGAGATGGACGAAACTTCAGTTACTTTAACATCAAAACATGTTGGTAAACTGATGCAGACAAAATAATTAACTTAAACTATGCTCTTATGTAAAGAATACAAAAAGCTTGACTGAATCCTAATACTGAAGTTGCAGAATAATGAAACAATAGCTGTGACATAACAGAAAATACCCTATATGTTAAACTAAAAGTTTCAGTCCCACCCTTCCACTTGGGAGACCCAAAATGTTACCTGGTCTTAGTTTTTCATCTCGCAATAGATCAGCTTAGAAAAAAATATCTGCTTACTTACACTATGGAGACTACAGCTCTTCTTTTGTCCACAGCTAGTTCATAACTGATACAACAGGCTATTGTCTTTGTCACTTTGAAAACCTATGTCAGAAGGCATTCAAACTATTTTAAATGTTTAGCTTCTTGTACCAACCTAGGTTAAGGCTTAAATATTCATTGTTTCTTACTGTTTTCTTCCTCTTATCTGGGGTGCGCCTATTAATAGAGTTTTGGTATACTCCCATTAAAAAAAAAACAGTGAAGGAAATACTTGGAATTTGTTAACCCTGATGTCTTCATTCAGAAAGCTGTTTCAACACTACAGAAAATCACAGTAGTTCAAGGTCGCAGGCTTAATTCTCAGATATCTAGATGCTCTGGGCCTCTTCCTTGTGCCCCATGTAGCATCTCCTTCAGCCCCACATCCTGCTTCACCTTTCTGCCTACTGTTTGAGTGGGTTTTTTGGGGCTACTTGGTTGGGAAACCACCTCCTGGAAGGTGGGATAGCCGAGTCCTTGTGATCCCCTGGTGCTACCAGTTCGTTTAACTGAGTTCTGCATTTAAGGAATAATCCTTTTCACAGATATTTAGCTCTAAAGAAAATTCAACTGTAAGATGGTCTGCTTGCTTTTGTTTGGGGTTTTTTTGTGTGAGTCTGGTGGCTTTGTTCTCCTCTCTGCTTCATTATTCTTAAAAAGAGAAAAAGGAACAAAATTAGCTTGACCATGACAGTATTTGGTGATAAACTCTGAATATTAGTGGGAGCAGGGAAGGTGGAGACACAGGCCTCTTGCATCTCAAAATCAATTTGCATTAGACTTCTTTAAATGTGTATCTTATTCTCTCACCTGTTGAAGTTGATTGTATGAAAAACACTGGAACCATTCCTGACGAAGAGTTTAGTGGTGGTTGAATATGCACATTACATTTTGTCCTCCTTACAGTGTTTTTGTGAAACTGCAGAAGCCAAATGCTGCCATTAGAGATTGTGACAGAGCCATTACCATTAACCCAGATTCAGCACAGACCTACAAGTGGCGGGGGAAAGCACACAGGTAAAGAATTGCAGCCACAGTTAACCTCCCTCACTTTCCCACTGTGTTTCCATTGTAGAGTCTGTTGTGTGGTGCTGTAGTACTTTGAAGTCATAGCATAATGAATTGTTGCCTGTGGCTAAGTTTGGGTGGCTGACCCTTTGTGGTGAGAAGGGAGATAACGCTGGTACTGGTACTAGATGTGCTAAAAACTATTGCATGTCTTCTCATTCGTCGCTGAACAGCCTAAGTTATAGGACCATGATTTTTGTGGAGTATAATTCTCTTTTTTCTAAAGGATTTCAAAGCAGTTTATGTGAATAAAGTTAAACTTCTTGAGAGGAGTAGCTTTTACTACAAGTCCTAGCTGAAATTTTAAGACGTAGTTATGTGGAATGTAGGTGTTATAACAGGCATTTGGCCAACAAGATAATGGAATATCTCAACTCTTATTAAAAAAACAAACAAACAAACCCTAAAAAATAAATAAAGAACTTGTTATTGCTTCAGTTCTGGGTTTTTGTTTTTTGGGGTTTGTTTTTTTTTTAAAGAACAGTTTTAATATATTCAAACAGTGAAAAATGACCTTTTTAAGGAATATTTAAAGGTACAGAGCTATGCAAACTAACCAGCCATAATGTTTAACTACCAGTTGGCTTAACTATCTGTAACAAACTATGTATGCTATGGTAATGTGATGTTGGGATGCCCCTTGTCCCCAGGCCCCTCTCCACTGCTTTGCTGTATGTTTACAAGGAACAGAGAAGGATTTGCCCTTGGGTAACTCCTTATCACAGGAAACCTTAATTCCTCATGTCCCAGACCAGACCTTGCAGCTTCAGAAGAGGAAAATGTATATAGAATACTTTCAATTGCCTCTTCCATAGAAGAAGAAACATGTTAGTAATTATCAATCATTCTGAAAATAACCTTAACCACAATTATTAAAGTATCTAACATAGAAAAAAAAAATCATTCAACAAGGAAAATAAATCATACAAACTTAACCATAAGCTGGAGAACAGATTGCAAAAAACACAAAAATGTGTGTGTGTGGGGGGGTGGAAGTCTCACCCTGCTTTTCACACTAGACAGCAGCACTAGTGAACAGTCCCACTTACTCCTCATTTCCCCTACAGTAGGGCTGTCCACTGGCAGCTAGTGGGCTTCATGGCAGCCTGGGGCTTGTGCCTGACTAGTGCTCCCCCTATTGCTCTAGCTGCTGCTGTAACTGGGGTCTCCTGAGCTTCTCAACCATTCTCTCAGCTTGTACTTCCTGCTCCTGCCCTGGGAGTTGGCTTAGGGGCCTGTGGCTTGCAGTAGCGTGGCCCCTCCAGCGGCTTAAAATTTCAACAGCACTGCTGTACAGTTTACCCAGCTTTCCTCCAACTGTGGACCTAGACCAGGAGTGGGCAAAATATGGCCCGCAGGCTGGGTTCAACCCATGGCAGGTCCCTTAGTCCCGTGTCCCAGGCACAGTCGAGCTGTGGCACACCCTGCCACCCTCTGAACGCACAGCAGGGCTGGGGTGGCTCTGCAGCTGAACTGCCTTTCTAGACTGCCTAGGTGGCTCTTTTCTGGTTGCCTCATCCACGCAGTACCAGCGGGGAACTGTGCTGCACAGCCCTGACCTTGTGCACATGTGCCTGCTCCTGGCTTGCCTATCTGGGCTCAGCAGTGGCAGCATGGGACACCCTCACCCTCTACACACCTTCTTCCCCCCACCACCCATATGCCCCCCACCCCTCCATGGTCCCCATCAATATACGAGAGTAAGACTTCATTTTGAGCTATTATACAATCAGCTCTCTATACACAACAACACACACAAATCAGGACAAAAATATTTTTAAAAATAAAATTAAAACGTTATCATCGTTTGATTTTTAGTATACAATTTTTTTTTCCAGTTCCAAGATGGCAAGCCCCCTTCCCAAAAGGAGTACTTCTGGGGGCAGGGGGAGGGACTTCCCATGGCAAGGGTTAGGGGGCTGGACTTCCA